AAAAAGAAAAGAAAGAAAGAAATAACCAGTAGGTAATGATACGGAATTTAGACGGGAGATTCAGGCTGAATATTAGAGATGGGAGTCATCAGCATTTAGGTGATAGTTCGAAATCCATGGAATGGAAATCACCCAGAGAAATGCTAAAGTGAGAAAACTCTTCTGTCCATCATGTTTAAGGGGGCAGAGGCAGAGAAGCTTGCAAAGGAGATTGAGAAAGAGCTGTTTGATGGGTGGGAGAAATACAGAGGGTCCTTGATGTTGCAGAAATCAAGGTGGAAAAACTTCAAGGAAACAGTAGTAGTCAAGTGTGTCAAATACTGCAGGAAGGAAAAATACAAGTGTGAAAAAAAAACCACTGGGTTTAGCAATAAGGAAGTACCTTTAAAATGAGCATTTTCAGTGAGGTAGTGGGTGCAGAATATGGACTGCAGTGGGTTAAGGAGTGGGAGGTGAGAACAGTTTAGTTAGTGCAGATTGGCTTCCTGTTCATTTGGCTATAGAGAGAAGGAAGGAGAGAAAGAGGAGATGGGTTTAAGAAAGCAATATGTATCAATACAATAAATTACAAAACTGAATATTGAATGAATAAAATTACAAAATTATAAAATTAAATGACCCCACCATTCAACCATCTGGAAGTATAAAACAAAAAACATTCACCTCCTTTTTATATAAAAAGTTGGAACTATCATTAAAGAATGTGTTTTTGTGCGGGTGTATACTGTTTCTCTAAGATACACAGAAAGATACACAGAAATTGAAGGTTGGGGGACGCCTGGGTGGCTCAGTCGGTTAAGCGTCTGCCTTCATGATACCAGAGACCTAGGATCAAGTCCTGCATTAGGCTCCTTGCTCAGTGGGGAGCCTGCTTCTCCTGCCTGCCCCTCCCCCCGCTAGTGCTCTCACACTCTGGCAAATAAATAAATAAAACCTTAAAAAAAAGTTGAAGGATGGGTTAAAGAAACATGAATTGTAAAAATTGTATTATGTTAAGTTGCCCTCCTAAAAGACTGTACCATTTTACACTCTAAACAATGATGTCAGAAAGTACTTATTTACCCCCACCTTTACCAACTGCTGATTGTTGAGCTTTTTTTTTTTTTAAAGATTTTATTTATTCATTTGAGACACGGAGATACAGAGAGAGAGCACATGTAGGGGGAGAGGCAGACGGAGAGGGAGAAGCAGTCTTCCCACAGAGAAGGGAGCCCAACGTGGCGCTCGATCCCAGGACCCCGAGATCATGACCTGAGCCCAAGGCAGAGGCTTAACGACTGAGCCATCCAGGAGCCCCTGCTGATTGTTGAGCTTTTATTTTTGCAACAACCTGATGCATGTAAAATGATCTCTTTAATTGTATTACACCAGTCCAAGTAAAGTTAATCAGTTTTTCCATGAAAATTGGATATTTGTATTTCTTTTCTGTGACATAATTGTTCATATTCTCTTGATTAGATTTTTTTATTTTTTTTAATATTTTGTTTATTTATTTGACAGAGAGAGACACAGCGACAGAGGGAACACAAGCAGGGGGAGTAGGAGAGGGAGAAGCAGTCTTCCTGCCGAGCAGGGAGCCCAGTGCGGGGCTCTATCCCAAGACTCTGGGATCATGACCTGAGCGGAAGGCAGACAGATGCTTGACGACTGAGCCACCCAGGAATCCTGTATGTAGTTTGGATACTCACAAATCCTTTCTGGAAGAGTATATCCCATACCCAGGCCCCTCAGGATTAACTCAGATTAAAATAATCAATTAGGGGGTGCCTGGGTGGCTCAGATGGTTAAGCGTCTGCCTTCGGCTCAGGTCATGATCCCAGGGTCCTAGGATCAAGTCCCATATCAGGCTCCCTGCTCAGTGCAGAGCCTGTTTCTCCCTCTCCCTCTGCCATTTCCTCTGCTTGTGCTCTCTGGCTCTATCTCTCTGTCAAATGAATAAATAAAATCTAAAAAAAAACAAAAAAACTTTTCTTTAAAAACAATAAATAAAAAATAATCAGTTAGGAGGTCACAATCAAAAACTATCAAACATATGAAGAAACAAGACCCAGGAGGGATTCAACAGAAACAAAGAACAGCAGAATTTGACCTCCAAGGACTTTAGCCATTATAGTAATCATATATTGAATATGTAATAACTATATTTCATATGTCTTTAAAGGCTGCAATAAAAATATGAGCAAGGAAGAAGTAACTATCAAATGATTAGCAGAATTTTAAAAGAAACTGATAAACCCTCTAGAAATCAAAAATACAATAGCTAAAATTAAAAATTCAGTGGACTGACTAACCCAATTTAGATAGAGATGAAGAAATCTGTACATTGGAACAGTACAGAGGCAAAGGAATAGAATATAGGGAAAGAGCATGGAAAATGAGAAATCTAAACTACATTTTTTAAAAGATTTTAAGTAATCTCTACACCCAACATGGGGCTCGAACCCACAACCCCAATATCAAGAGTCCCATGCTCTACCGACTAAGCCAGCCAGACGCCCCTAAAATACATTTAAACTGGAGTTCCACAAAATAAAACAATTTGGGATAGACAATATTTAAAGAGATACTGACTGAATTTTCCAGACTTGTAGAAAGCTAGGAATTCTCAGATCCAAGAATCACAATAAATCCTAAGAGGAATAAATAAAATGAAGTCCATACTGACATACACAGTCAAGTTGCAGATTATCAAAGACAGAAGATCTTAAAGCAGCAGAGGGGGAAAAAAGTCACTATTATTTTCATATCCTGCTTTGCCACAAGTTGGAACTTTCACAATATCACTTCTCTAATGTTTTCCTTTCCTTGTATAATAATTGTACTATTATAGTATATCTTGATGCCATGGAGGATCACTGTGAATTAATAGCTTGACTCAGGCATCACAACAAAAATCTACCTCAAGGCTGAAAAAATGATGTTCAGAGAATAGGGAAAGAAGGGTTAGTGTGTCATATGAGAGTATTGTACAATTTTGAGAATTCTGTTTATGAGAAGAAGGCTGAGAAAGGACTTCTATGATGGTATTGCTTCTTCAAAGCCCCTTCTTTGAAGGAGGAATAGAAGAACCCTGTGTGTTTGGCTTGGAAGGAAATCACCTCTTCTAGAATGGGGCTGTTTGATAGCTTCTTTCCTGACTGGAACATATAACGTGTCTAAACAGAAAACCCACAAATCTCTTAGGACACATTTGGGCAAATCCAGTGAAAAAAATTTAAACACTCTAAAACAGGGTTTAGGAGTGCGGATACTACTGACTCCATCTTTGTCCCGTTCCCTCCCTTCCCCCCCCACCCTCTCCACCCCCCACCCCTGCCTTATCCATGTCCCTGCAATGATCTCCCCTGGGGCTACATGTTCCAGGTCCCCTAGATGTTAATGTATGCCATGACCAGAATGTGGAGAAGCTGCTCTTGCCTTCTCTAAATTTGTTTAGATAACTCCTAGAGATAACAATCCCCCCCACCTCCCCGATGCACAGAGGGTGCCTGAGGTCTGTTAAATGTTAGCTATCAATTAAATGTATGCAGACCTTTGACCTCACTACAGTGCCCTCCTGAGCATCCCTTCGTTCTATAAAATCTGTAGACTAAAGGTCTGGATTTTGCAGAGAATAGCTGCACAGGTGCCTGGATCATCACCCTCTGAACACTTTCTGTCAGTAAGTTAATAAAATTCTATAAACTGTAGGGAGGTTGACTGCTTCATTTTTTGTCCTCAAAGTGCCTTCTCAATTTGGAGGATACTTTATAGTCCCTCCTCCCCACTTTCTAATACAGGGTCTCTCAACTTTGGCACTATTGACATTTTGGGTCAGATAATTCTTTGTTGAGGACTGTCCTGTGTATTGTAGGATCTTTTTTCCTTTCTTTTTTTTAAAAGATTTTAAGTAATCTCCACACCCAACCTGGGGCTCCAAACGACAACCCCTGAGATCAAGAGTCGCAGGTTCTAGTGACTGAGTCAGCCAGGTGCCCCTTAGGATCTTTAATAACATCCATGGCATCAATTCAGCACTCCTGTTGAAGAACAGCTTTAGAGAATCACTTGGCACCAGTACAATCATAAACACAACCAGACATTGAAATCCTACAGTATTACTAGGTTTTCATCCAGATGACCCAGGATATACTGATCATCATTTTAAAAATTTATAATCGAAATGGAAACACAAAATTGGAAGAATTTTGTGGAAAAGTGTGCCCTTTTACCCCCCCCCCCCCCTCCCCTCCCCCCAGCTTGAGAAACAATATAGAAAACCAGAGTCCTCGAAAGGACCATTTTTTTATTAATAGATGAGAAGATTAATGTTTTTAGGCAACCTGCCCACAGTGTCACCCCTAGTAAGTAACAGAATCAAGGCCAAAGCTGCAGGAAATCTCATTCCAGAATTTTACAACAAACACTGGCCTCATCAACACACTGAACTCAGAAGTTACCGTCAACCATGAACAAAGAGTATTGAGATTTATTCTGTTTGATTCTAAGGACCAGAACTAAAACACACAGGAAGCCGATTTCAGTTCATTATAAAGGTAAACGTTCAAGTACTACGTCAGACTGTAGTTAAGGTAGAAAAAGATAACTTGATATAAACACACAAGTTTTACAAACAGCGAATACTTTGGTGGACAAGACTTCCCTTGACAAAACGCTAAATCACAGCCAACATCTGCTAATAATGCAGATAATTTATGACGATTTTTGCTTCGATAACCAATGAATTCTATGCAGAAACAGTGCTCTCTCGGGGCTGAAACAGTCATGATCAGCTCTAGAACCCTATCGGTGCCTTCTCACGGTCGTCCAGAAGCACTCTCGCCCCACCGAAGAATCTGTGCATTACAGCCGCCGGGTTAGCGCAGACTCCACCCGGGCATTCCGCCGAAATTCTTAGCCGCCTACAGGAGGAAACTACAACTCCCATCAGACAAGGCGAGCCGAGCGGGCGGGTATTCGCGGCGCGTGGGCGGCCCTGACCAATAACGACGGTCGTTACAGCGAACAGTTTGGCCGCGTTTGTAAAAGGCCGCGGCAGGCGAAGAGAGAGGAGGTGAGGGCGGTCATCGGCTTGGGGCCCTGGGGCCGCGGGGGGGGGGAGGGGGGCGGTGGCGCAGAGCAGGCAAGGGGGCCGTGTTGACAGAAGGCGGGGACAGCAGCGCGACGAGGGCGTAGAGCCGGGAATCCCGGCGGAGAGCGTGGCCAAGGGGCAGGGGGAGTCCCAACCAGGTGATGCTTCTCCTTGGGCCTACTTAAAACCGGAAGTGAGCCGTCGCGCGGGGAGGATGCCGGGAAGCAGGTCCCAGAATGGTGCTTCTGGGGGTGGGCCGGGTCCCGGAAGCCAGGCGGGAGGTGCTCATCCTGCAGGCGGGGTTTCTAGACACGCATCCGCAAGGCCGGAGCGGCCTTTTTTCGCTATTCCTAGACAGCGCTGGGCTAATGGAAACCTAGGAGTCGGGAGGCTTGGCTTCTAGGCATCTCCCTTCCTTTTACTTGTGGTTTGACAAGGAATCCTGTAGATTACAAACTCATGTTAGATTATCTGGTTGCTGGCTGTGAGACATTCATCAAATCATTACTCTCTTTGAGCCAGTTTCTTCAACTCTAAGATGGTAAATACCCACTTTACTGGATTATGGTGAGCAATACCGGAGTAAATGCATGGGAAGGGCTTGTACTCAGTAAAAGTTAGCAGGTTTTATGTTTTATTCATGATAATCATTCGTTCTCTTCAGTTACTGTTTCTTCACAAGCATTAAACAGCAGCCACCAAACTGTACAGCTCTACAGCTGAACAGTACCTGGATTAAAACGCACCACTTCCAGGGAGCATTCCTGGGTTGGCTCTTCCAGCATCAGTCCCTTTACACCATCCTGCTGAGGAGGCAGTTTTGTAAACTTGTTTAAAAGAGACCTTTTTTTAGGCAGAATTCAAATACAGGTTCTTTTCTTATCCTTTTTTTTTTTTTAAGTTGAGGTAAAATTGACGTGTAACATACTAGTTTCAGGTGTACCACGTAATTCAATATTTGTATACCCTGTGACATGATCGCCACAATAAGTCGTTATCAGTCACCATACAAAGTTACAAAAAAAACTTTTTTCCCTTGTGATGAGAACTTTTAGGATTTCTTCTCTTGGCAGGTTTCAAATATGCAATATGATATTATCTACTATAGTCATCTTGCAGTACATTACATTCCTATGACTTATTTTATATCTGGAAGTTTGTACCTTTTGACTCCCTTCACCCATTTCTCCTACCTTCCTATCCCCCCTCCCCTCTGGCGGCCACCAATCTGTTTTCTGTATGTATGAGTTTTGTTTTGTTTCGTTTTTTAGATTCCACATGCAAGTGAAATCATATGGTATTTGTCTTTCACTTTCTTTGTCTTATTTCACTTAGTATAATACCTTTGAGGTCCATCCACATTGTTGCAAATGGCAAGATTTCCTTCTCTTTTATGTCTGAGTAGTATTCCATGGTGTATTCCAGTATAGTATTCCATTTTATAGGCGCACATACACACCAAATGTTTATCCATTCATCCGTCTTAGGTTGTTTCCATATCTTGTCTATTGTAAATAATACTGCAGTGAATAAAGGGGTGCATATATCTTTTCAAATTAGTGTTTTCATTTTCTTTGACAAAAACAGGTTCTTTACAGCTTGTGTTACTTGTTTGTATATGCTTGCAATATAGAATCTATAATAAGGGATACGAGTCCATGTTTAAAATTCAAATAGTATAAAACAGTGATATGTAAGTCTCCCTCCTACTATTTCCCAAGTCCTAAGTCACTTCTAAGACCATAGACGTGTGTGTATCCCTTCTTTTTTCTTTTTTAAACCAAGAGTATCCTACATGAAGTACCTTTTTTCATCCCACAGTATATCTTGATATGTCTTCCTTATCAGTACATATAGATCTATCTGATTCTTTTTAATGGCCTTACAGTAGCATATTGTATGCCTGCACCATAATTTTTTTCGTCAGCTCTTAGACTGTTTCCATTCTTTGCAGTTCTGGACAACTTTGCATGGGGTACCCTTGTACATACTTTGTGTACATGTGACAGGAGAACTCATGAAGTCTTAGAAGTAGAATTGCTAAGTTAAAGTATATGTTGTACATTTATTTTATTTACATCCCTTTAAAGAGGATGTTGCAGTTTACATCCCCACCAATGACGTGCAGTGACTGTTTCTCCACATCTTAATGAACACAATGATAACATTTATCTTTTTTGTCATTTTGCCAAAGTATTATCTTGTTTTAATTTGCCCCCACCAACGACGTGCAGTGACTGTTTCTCCACATCTTAATGAACACAATGATAACATTTATCTTTTTTGTCATTTTGCCAAAGTATTATCTTGTTTTAATTTGCCTCTTGCTTATTGTAAGATAGAATTTTGGATGTTTAAAATCATTTTTGTTTTTTATTTTTCACAAGCTGTCTTTTCATGCTCTTTGCTCATTTTTCTAGTGGGTTTCTTTTTCTTATTGATTTGTAAAAAACTCTTATTTTAGAAAATTAGCTCTTTAGCAATTGCATTCCAAATATTTTCCCTCTATTTTTAATGATAACTTTTTTTAATTTTATTTTTTAAAGTAATCTCTATACCCAGTGTGGGGCTCAAACTCACAACCCCAATATCAAAAGTCACAATCTCCACCGACTGCACCACCCGGGCACCCCTTTCAATGACAGCTTTATTAGGATCGCCTGGGTGGCTCAGTCAGTTGTGTCCAGCTCCTGGTTTCAGCTCAGGTCATGATCTCTGAGTTGTGCGATGGGGCCCAGTGTTGGGCTCCGCACTCAGCATGGAGTTGGCTTCTCCCCTCCCTCCCCCTCTGCCCCTCCCCTCTCTCTCAAAAATAAATACATAAATAAATCTTTTTTAAAAAGCTTTACTGAAATATGATTCACATAACATAAAGTTCACTCCCTTAAAGTGTTGTGATTCAGTGATTTTCTTATATATTCACAGAGTTTTGCAGCCTTTCTTCACTCCAAAAAGAAGCCTCATACTCCCCAGCAGGCACTCTTGTTTCCTCCTTTTCCCTCTGCTCTTGGCAACCACCAGCCTACGTTCTGTCTCTATGCATTTGCCTATTCTTCGTATTTCATTTAAATGGAATCATACAGTGTAGCTTTTTTGTGTCTGGCTTCTTTCACTTAGCATAATACTTCAAGGTTCATATAGCATGTATCAGAATTCCATTCCCTTTTAGTGCCAAATTATATTCCATTGTGTGGGTGTATCACATTTTGTTTATTCATTCATCAGTTGATGGACAGTTGGATTGATTCCACTTTCTGGCTATTATGAATACTACTACTATGAACATACATGTACGAATTTTTGTATGTTTTCAGTTGTCTCAGGTATATATTCTCTTGTGAGTCATATGGTAACTCAGTTTAACATTTTGAGGAATAATCAACCATCAGTTCTCTGAAGTGGCTCTGCTGTTTTACAGTACCATCAATAATGTATGAGCGTTCCAGTTTTTCAATATCCATAACAACACTTGTTATTTTTTGCCTTTTTTAGTCATCGTAGTGGCTGTGAAATGGCATCACACTCTGGTTTTGATTTATAATTTACATGATGTTGAACACTTTTTCATATGTTTATTGGCTGTTTATTTTCTTTGAAGAAATATCCATTCAAATCCTTTGTCCATTTTTAAATTGGGTTATGTCTCTTTGTTTTTTTTAAAGATTTTATTTATTTATTTATTTGAGAGAGAGAGCGTGCACGCACAAGCAGAGGGAGGGGCAGAGGTAGAGGGAGAAGCAGGCTCCCCGCTGAGCAGGGAGCCCAACACCGCTCAATCCCAGGACCCTGAGACCATGACCTGAGTAGAAGGCAGACACTTAACTGTCTGAGCCACCCAGGAACCCCCTCCTCAGCTTTTTTGAGATATAATTGACATAACTTTGTGTAAGTTTAACGTGTTCAATGTGTGTTTTTATAAGATTTTGTTTATTTATTTGAGAGGGAGAGAGTGAGTGCATGCACATGAGCAAGGAGAGGGGCAGAGGGAGAGAGCAGAGAATCCAGGATGCTGGGATCATGACCTGAGCTAAAGGCAGCTGCTTAACTGACTGAGCCACCCAGGCGCCCCAGGTGTTCAGTGTGTTTTGGTACATTTATATATTGCAAAATGATTACTACCAAAACATTAGCTAACACCTCCATCATGTCATATAATTACAGTTTTTTTTGTGTGGTGAGAACACTTAACATCTACTCTCTTAGCAACTTTCAGCTATTAGTGAAAGTATATTAGCAATATAATATACTATTATTAACATAATCACCATGACGTACATTAGATCATCTTATAATTTATTTATCTTATAACTTACTCATCTTATAACTAGAAGTTTACACCCTTTGATATTTCCTCATTTCTCCCACCCGTCAGTCCCTGGCAGTCATTCCATTCTCTTTTTATGAGTTTGGCTTTTTAAGATTATATATATAAGCTAAATCATACAGTATTTGTCTTCTCTTTCCACATTGTCTTAATTTGCTTTGTAGTAGGTTTTGAAATCAAGAAGTGTGAGTGCTTGTACTTTGTTCTTTCTCAAGATTGTTTTGGCTCTGCCAGGTGCCTTGCATTTCTATATGAATTTTAGGATCATCTTGTCAGTTTGCAAAAAAGGCATCTGGAATTTTGATAGTGATTACATTGTATCTATAGATCAGTTTGGGGAGTAGTACCTTCTTAATATTAGTCTTCTGATCTACAAGCATGAGATATCTTTCCATTTTTTTAGGTCTTTAATTTCTTTTTAAGATTTTATTTATTTTAGAGAGGAAGAATGAGCATGAGTGGGGGGAGGGACAGAGGGAGAGGGAGAATCTTAAGCGGACTCCACGCTGAGCACAGAGCCAGGAATGGGGCTTGGTCCTATGACCCCTAGATTATGACCCAAGCAGAAACTGAGTTAGACGCTTAACCAACTGAGCCACCCAGGCACCCGTAGATCTTTAATTTCTTTCAGTGATGTTTGCAGTTTTCAGTGTACAAG